CAGACTACTTGGTGTGAACTTCAGCCCTATGAATGCGGCTTTGACCCCATAAGCTCACGCACCACTGAGAGAGGCTAGTCCAAGGGGCACAGTGACAAATACGGTGAAATCACGGTGATACCCACTTGCATGCCATAGCAACAGCATCTCCAGACGTAGCCATTGTTAACATTTTCAGTATAGTTCTCACTGGTGCTTGGGAAGGTATCACTCAGGCTGTCTGGGGGGCTCTGCTATGCCCACTTTTCAGAAAAGGGTCATGTTTAAAGAGAGAAGCTTACTTCTTCCAAGATCAGTATGAACTTACCAGTGCCTAGCAAAAACAAAACAAAACCAAAAACAAGCAAAACTCCAAACCTGGTGCCAACTCTTTTTATCGCACCTTGGCACTAACAATGAGAGTGTAAGATCGTAAAAAGCTTCCTTTCCATATTGCCTTCAGGATGGACACCTGCCACTTACAATCCGTATACAGCTTGTTCATGGCTAAACCTGTCCCAGGGCTGCCTCTTTTCTGCTTCATATCAGCAGGCAGTTTCATGAGTCATTGAATCCATCTGAAATGAAGCCCAAGTGCCCAGCACTCTGCTGTGTTAGGCCCCTCTGGCCTCATGGGCTTTTCAGAGTTTAGAGCCTAAGTAAGTCTACCGGGCTAGAACCAGAAAATCTGATTTAAACTTCATTGTATGTCACCTTCAGGGACCTACATAATGCTATTTCCCTGTGCATTAATTCTCCTAGATGTCATGAAGGGATTTTTATTTTTTTTATTTGGAAATGCAACCTTAAATGTAAGGATGTGCTTTCTGGCTTCTAGCCTGCAGACCCAAGAAAGCTCTGTCTGGTGCCATCACAGTAAAGTTCCAAGCAGGAATGAGACGGAAGTTGCTGTTCTATATGCATCCCGGACTCATCTTTGTGAAGCCCCCTTACCCTCCCTTCTTCACCTCCAAGGCCTGCTCTGGAACTTTGCCATCTTTGAGAATTTTTCTTCTCACATGAGCAGGCCGCCTTATGACTCCCTGGGTCATTCTCTCCACCCGCTGGCCATTTCACTACACTGATGCTTCCAATTAAGAGGGTGGACAGAGGGAATGACAAGATATGACCTCAATGTGAGGAGACTCTGCTTCTCATTAAAGGTCCTGCTGAAAGCTGTGAAGGTACGAAAACAAGATGTCACTGTGCCATTCATCAGCCACAAGGCTGGAGAACTTTCATTAGTTCTCAACTTTTACAGTATCACCCATGAACCTCACACCTGAGACACATTTGATCTGTTTGAACTAGATGACTAACAAGAAATATGTTTCTCTGGCATTGCTGCCAAATTTTCAAATAAGTCTACTATTAGGGAAGGCCTTGGGAAAGACAGTTAATAAGATGTAATTTTCTTCTACTTTGGCTGTTTCCCCTCTATTCATCCAGCCATATCACCTGCATCTGTTCCCATAGCAACACAGTAAAGCTTCGGCCTCACAAGAGTTTCCTGAATGTAGAAATCATAAGGCCTTATAGACTCTGGAACTCCTACTCACAAGCTTCACATACTAAGACATACAGGAAAAGACAACTTGGTTTTCTAGCTTGCTTTTTTGTTAAGATTCACTTTCAAAAATCCCTTGATCCCTGTTTGTGTCAACTCTACTTCCAAGGAGGCAGGATGTCATGGTCAAGATAGTGTCCTGTGGAAGAATTCAAAGCATTTATTCAGGAGTTATTTATTGAATTTCTCCTAGGTTGACGGCCTTACCTATACATGCTTAATTGTAATTTATAAATAAGTATCATACAATGCAAACTAATATGTCAGTTTAGATATGGTGGAATTCTAGGCCTCTGAAGTAGTGCTTTTATCCAGTGCTACCTGCATATTGACAATTATACATTGCCTGTGTTTCAGATTTATAAATTTTATAGTTATTCCTAACCGTGTGAGAATTAAATCAGTAATCTGGTATTACATAATAGGAAATGGATTTCATTCCACCTCTCATATATGTTTCTCTGCATGAAGGATGATGTTCATTTCTGGTACTCCATGTGGCCTCACTGAGAATGCCCCGATAGGCTTCTATGCTTGAATGCTGGGTCCACACTTTGTGGAAGTGTTTGGGAAGGATCAGGAAGTATGGCCTTATTGGACTGGGTGTGGCATTGTTGGAGGAGGTGTGTCAATGGGGGTGGGCTTTGATATTTCAAAAGTGCATTGTAGGCCCAGTCTTGTCTACAACTTCCAAATCGAATATGAGTTTTAAGCTCCTGCTCCAGCACCATGCCTGCCTAACTGCTGCCATGCTCTGTGCCATGATGACCAATGATCATGGACTAACCCTCTGAAACTGTAGACAAACTCCAATTGAATGCTTTCTTTTGAAAGTTACCTTGGCCATGGTGTCTCTTTATAGAGCAATAAAACAGTAACTACTATAATACTCTACATGAAAATATAAAAGGAACTTGCCCATTTCAGCAAAGTGAGATTGAGGTGAGCCAAGGTAGACTGTAAGCACTCTTCTTATGCTGTGTCTCCAGATAGTTTAGCACACGTCAGCCTTAGACTCAGTAGCACCCTCCACCTTGAAGGAGGCCGGAAGTAGAGCTAGAGGCGAATCCTCTATTCCTGGCATCGTCTTGACAAGAGCAACAAAGTCATAAGGAAGCTTTCCTCAGTGAGGAGGGACTACAGTTAAGTCAGGGCTCTGGGAACAGCAGACGAAGGGGAATTGCAGGGCACTGACCACTTTTATAGGCACAGTTCACCAGAACAGTCAGGACTGCTCTGGGTGGACATTTTTATATTTTTCCTGCAGGTTCACACCACAGAGACAGAAAGCTGAGCAGGTGGCAACAGATCCTACATGACCTAACTAGTTCCTTTCTGCTCCTTTACAGAAAGTGTGCTGACCCTAGTTGAAATCATTCACTTCAGTTAGGCTTTTGAAGATCAAAGATGGAGAACAAAGAGGAAGGTAGGGAATGCTGCCTGATGAACTGAATATGTTACCTATAAGATTTCAAGTAGATTATACACCTCCATGCTTTTCTAATTTGGTATTCATCCTGACAATGTGGAGGTGAACATTGAACATTTGTTGAAAGTGTTCTGGGCACTATGTTGGAAAATTTCCACAAAATAGGTATTTGAATTACCTATGTCAAGGGAGTTTAGACTGTCCTGGATATGAGGTGTTATGGGAAAACAAACAAGCCAACAGGCTCATGACCAGGCAGCTAACTCCAGCATGGACAACTGATGTTTGTTAGTGTCTGGGAATAAAAGATGCTAAATGTCACCCTCAGCTTAATTTGCAATTTCCCTACAATGTGAGGTCAGAAATACATGACTTTGGAGCCACAGTCTCTAGATCTATTGTAAATGGAGACAGAACAGAGCTGGAGCACATGTTCTCTCTATAAATCAGTAGAAGTGCACAGGGTTGCATGGGGACTGTGGGATAAGGCAACATCTGTTTGGTAACCGATAATTTAATAATCATAACTTTTAAAATTAGAATAGAGACTTAATATAATATCTATGCTATATGACCTATAACTACAAGAAAAACTTGAGGATATAAGTAACATGCTTACACAGACTGGAGCTGGCTACATTACCTGGGCTGCAGAGCAAACTTGAGTCCCTACTAAGCAAGCATCCTCTCCTCTCATCTCCTCTCCTTTCTTCCCCCTACCCTTCCCTCCCCTCCCACCTCTTTCTTTTTCTGTCTCCCTATCCCTCAACAAAATTTATTTTCTGAGTCCCTTTTTCATTCTGTGTCCATGTTGATCAGAAAGTGAACAGTTGTGTTCAAGGATGACAACCATGCAATCTCTCCTCTTTTAAACTTGCTAAGTTTGAACCCTCTCTAAGCTATTGTTTTTCCTGCACATTCATATTTTAATGTTTTTATTTCCAGTATAAGCCTTTGCCTTTAAAAAAAGATATCTATTCTTTGGGGATGTGCCTATTCGCTGTAAATTCATTTTTTTTTCTGGCAACAGTGCCTCCTTCAAGTTTCTGGTTGGATCCTTCACTTGTGGGTTCTGGATCCACTCTGAAGCAGGGAGCAGTACTCTATCTTTTCTTGGCAGACACATACCCTCCCTTTCGGATTAAAAAAGGGTCAGGCATGATGTCTGTGGAAATAAGGAGAGAAGGTGAGAAGGGAAGGGCAAGCCAAACAGTGAGAAAATAGCTTTTTTTTCTGAAAAGAAAAACAAAACAAATCGATAGTACCAAAGGAAAGGGAAATAATAATGACTGGTAGAATCCACTCTTATCAGCTTATTTTGGGGTATATAGGGAATCATGGTGAGGAGAATTTTTATTTGTCAAGGCCTTATCCCCAAGAGTCATCCTAAACCCAGCACAATCCTATCTTCTACCATCCACTGGTGTTGCTCTGGGAAGCTCACCAGTACCCCTGCTCCTCTGAGATAATGGAGCTTATTAGGGGTTTGTCGGCTCCAGGACAGGATAGCAGCTAACCCATGCAATAACGAGGACTGTCACTTTCTGCAGGATACTATTTGGGTGGTGAAAAGAAGATAACTTCCTGTTCACTTGGTGGCAGATATAAAAAGTTGTCCTGAAATGCCCTTTAAATTGTATGCAGGCACCCATTTTTGCAAACTGAGTATGTCCCCATTAGGGGCTAGAGAGGACATACAAGATATTTGTTGCCCCGAGTTTATGTACCAGTGTAAGCTATGTTCTAATCATTCACCAGGATAACACAGTCTATGTTCCTGTTTGAATGACCCAAATAGCAAAGCTGGACACATGGTCAGAACCAATTTTAGGACTTTATGGTAATGTGCCCTGAGGCAGAGTGAGACGGCTGTAGACACTTGACACAATGATACAACAGCTGGACTCCTTAGAAAAATGTACTAGAGAAATCCACCAAGATACCCATCCCACATGGCTGCCCCAGCTCACTTTATTTTTCAGGGTTTGCTAAGTCAAACCATTTGCAAAAGTTGCCCCCAATTACCTATTGATGCTGTTTTTCTGTGCTAACATCTGCCAGTCCTTGCCTTTGGCGTTGGGGGTATCAAACGTAGCACAGATCCTCTGTCGGATGGAATAGGGAATTTTGAAGGCTTTTGGGCCAGTCTGTGCAGGGAAAGTACTGTCCTCTTGTGCGAAGAAAGTGATGGTTTCTCGTTCACTCTATAAGCAAGATAAGTGATGCATGATCAGATCCAAAGAAAAACATGACCGACATTTTTGTATTTGTGAAAAAACATCTGTGTTAACACACATGCTCAAAACGCATTCATAAAACACACTGACAGATTCCCTTAGCTTTCAAGATCGTAAGGGCCTTCTTTAGTGGCCCATCAGTCATGTCCTAAAGATTTACAGAAGCTGCTTCCATAGGGATATCATAGGTCACCAGTATCCTGCCTTACCTGGTAAGGGCAGAATTAGGTGGCTTTTGTTTCATTTTATTTTATTTTTTAAGGCTCTCAGAGATAGATGAGAATTAGTATGAAGAAGCTACCTGGTGACATATTTGGGTTCAGTATGAGGAATGACCCTCTGATAGTCATTGAGACCAAAGATGAATGGGCTGATCAAAGCGGCAGACTGGGAAGCTGTAAGGGGAGACTGTATGTTAATGCTACAAAAGTTTGTTCTATTCCCCAGTCCTAAAGCTGTATGGCACTATGATAAATCTTGGTTTTGATTTAAGTCCCCTCAGTGAGACAGACGCTGCCAGAGACAGCCCTTCTGTGAGCTGTGTGCAGCAGTGTGCTGACTGGAAGGCTACTTCGCATGCTGTCTGCCCACCTGCTTCTAGTGGACAGCTGTCCAGTCAGGATTAGCTATATCTGCGCATCACAACTGTTAGGTCACCACATACAAAATGAAGTCACAAGGATATCTGTCAGGTTGCAGCCGTGGTTGATAGGCTCATATGGACTAATAGAATCTTAAGAATTCACAAATATCTGGTGGAATGAAGCCCATGATTATTATAAGCCATAAAATAAAAGAGATACTGCTGTCATAAAGGAGAAAAGGCTGTCTCTCTTCTGTCTGTCTGTCTGTCTGTCTGTCTTTGTCTTTGTCTGTCTCTCTCTGTCTCTCTGTCTGTCTGTCTCTGTCTCTCTCTCTGTCTCTGTCTCTCTCCCTCTCTGTGTGTGTCTTTCTGTCTCTCTCTGTCTCTCTCCCTCTCTCCCTTCCATTTCTCTTTCCTTCCCTTGGCCCCAAGTCTTTTGACTGTATTGGGTTGGGAAGGTTGGTAAATTCACTATAATAAGATGCAGCTCCAGACTTGGAGGCATCTCCTACTGCTCTGGAAGACAGACAACGCTCAAGCTCTGATCTGCCTGTAAAGGAGATGTGTAGCCAAGAGATCAGAATAATTGTGGCCTATTGACATCACAAGGAATGGGGACTTGTGTCCCACAGGATAAGGAACTGAGTTGTAGCAACAACTTGCACTAGCTTGGTTCAGTTAGTGAGACAGAGTACAGCTATGCCATGTTTGAACTTTTGACTTACAATAATAGGATTTCTTTATGCCTCCAATTGGTGGCAACCTGTTACGTTAAAGAGAAAAGTAAATCAAGGAGGGGGGAAGGATTGGTAATGAGATTGTAAACCCCGCTCATCCAGCATGGCATATTGCATCCCTCTTCATGGCAGCACATGGCTTGTTACCACTCTAAATCCTGTACTAATTTCTCCATGACTTGTGACCTTTTTATGTCTTTCTACTGTGGGCATTGCAGTCATTGTGACCCTCTTCAGACAGTGTCATGTGTGTGAAACTGTAAGAATCAGGTGTGGTAAGTTTTCTTCAAGATCTGTCAGCTAAAAAGTCTGGCTGATGGAGGGTTTTATTAATGTTTGGCAATGCATTTTACTTTTTCCAGTATCAATGGACATGGTGACATGGCTTGGATGTTGAAAACCCATGGGACCCCAAAGCATATCTTAGGTGTTTGAAGAGAGAACAGCTTCATGGTCAAACGCACATGTAAGGTATTGCATCTCACATTCCTGTTATCATTTTAGTTCTACTGACTGGTTTCAGTTGTGCTACATACCACAATGTATCTTATTCAGTTCTGTTACATACTACATTATTGAGCAATCTTATTTACTTCTGTTACTTACTACATTATAAAACAATCTTACACAGATTCTTTCAGTGTTGGTGTTACTTACTACATTATAAAACAATCTACACAGATTCTTTCAGTGTTGGTGTTTGGTATGATCTAATAACAAAAGCAGTTTTTAAATCAGGAATTTTTTTAAATGTCTCTGCAGTAGGACTCTGTTCTCCCTGGCTTATACCTCTTGATGCTATATAATCTCCCATATCAGCCTCCTAATGAGACTTCCTTCAATACAGACTCTCCAGACAGTAAAAAAGCTTGAAAGTCACCCACATAACTTGTGACACACCTGAAAATGCAAGCTGGATGTCCTAGTAATCATGCTAGCCCCCATTTTACTGCTTCAAAGCAAACTTGAAATACATAGAGCAGAGTGGTTATGAAAGGTCCTGTGAGGCTGATACACTATACTATGCCTTAGAATTTATGTGAAGGAGAATCTTCATGGAAGAGGTGTTTGTGTTGGCCTTGAAGGATTGGTAGGCATAGACTGAATAGACTTTGAGCAGATAGGTACTTATTCCAGGCAGAGTGGACAATTCTGTTTTGATATATTGGATGGTTATAAAATAAACCAACTCAGCTTCTTACTGCATAAAATAGGTTACAAGTAGACATTATTTTTTATCATGGTTTGTAAAATTTCTTTTAGCCTCTAAAAATGCAAATCAAGTGGGAATAGCTTATATATATATTATTTCTGACTTGAGGACTACAGCTGAAAGGAAGAGAGAAGGGAGAGGAGGCCGAAGAGGAAGGAAAAAAAAAAGAATTTTACTCAAATCAACATGGGATTCTTCTGTGTGAAATGGCACCAACACATATTAAGTGAGGGGAAGGTGGCTTGAAAGTGAAGAAAACAAAGGCCCAGGCTAAATAATTAAAAGACACAAAATTAACTTTGGACAACTTTACGCTACCTTGAATTGCTTGAAATAATAGAATCTTGGGCTGGGGATGTATCTTGGTTGGTTGGTACAGCACTTGGCTAGAATGTATAAGGCTCTATGTTCTGAAAAAGCAGGGATTGTGTGTGTGTGTGTGTGTGTGTGTGTGTGTGTGTGTGTGTGTGTTTGTGTGTGTTCATGAGGGTTGGGGTAAGGGGTAGACTTTGGGTATTTTTAACTATGTGTGTGCTGGGGATCTGAGATTGGATCCTCATGCTTCACATCCAGCATGTGACCAACTGGGCAGTTGCCTACAAACTGCACAGTCTTCAAAAAAAAATCAGACCAGATCTCAGACTGTGCTGAGACTAGTTAGTACAGTTTAACCCTCAAGAATCTCTTGGCAAGAGAAAAGGCACTTTGAAGCTGAAAATGAAGCAGGAGAAAGTGGTTTTCCTTTGAAGGTGAATAAAATATATGAGGTCAAATTTAAAAATAAGCATTTTAAAATTTATTACACTTTAATAAGTGGATCCATTTCACTTTTAACATTTCCAAACTTAAATATTTCCCCTCTAACAGGGTGGCACTTTATGTAACATTTACGATACATCCTAAAACACATCTGAACCAAGTAATAAGAATGCTGTAGGTACATCCCATTCTCTGAGTGCTTAAATTAAATATGCAGAGGAACAGTAGATTTTCATGCTCTGTACATCTGAGATAAGCGGCTGCTACCCAGTTAGCATAGGGAGTTGTAAATCACTGAGAGATTCTGAGTACTCTATTTTATAGCAGACAAATTATCCCCCAACTCCCACTACTTTTGGAGGAAAGATAAGAGAATTGCTTAAAGGGAAAATTGTAACATGCAAGATTCTCATTTAAGTCATTTCTACCCCAAACTGTCTTCAATAATATTATATTAGAAAAAAGTGATGGGATAAATTATGCGAGGTTTCTTTCCTGTTCCTTAGAGTGTCCCTGGCTACAGATTTTAGATTGATGACAGTGTTGATTGACAGAGCACCAGTTGGCAGTAGTCATTATGTAATTCAACAGGATTGTATCTAAGAGGAAGGAATTCACTGACTAACACAATACTAGTCACATAGATTTTTTTTAAAAGGTATACTATTTTGGCTAAAACCCTTTTATTTTAAGGATCATTGCAAAGATAGTATTTATTTGGAGAACCATTTAGACCAGACACATGAAGGGAAATGACAGACATAACATGGCCACTGAGTGCATAGATTCAATGATCACTACGTTGACTTAGACATTTAACTCACATACTGACCATGAACACACATGCTTATATCCCTCATGATTACTGTCAAATAAAGGAAGTTGTGACACCAAGAGGACCCACTCAAGGAAGACAAAGAATGAAAAACCTGAGCTGAAATGCATAGGGATATGGGGGAAAAGATTAAGAAAATAAATGACATTTATCAAAAGTTACAAAAGTCCCATGTTATCATCACTGGATTCACTCAATAAGCCCTAGAGGCTAACTTCCTAAACTCCCCAAGTCAATGTTTCCAGTCTGGTGACCATGAAGTGTCACCCACATTCAAAACTAGTCTATGATTCCAAAGTCATTCATGTCTACAATGCCACCTTCCTCTTCCCCAGTAATCAGATTCTGACCACTGTCCATATTTAGCCCTTTGCTTCAACCATTTACTATGAAAGTCAAGTCAACCCAACAGACAATCTAAGCAATAGTGGAGAGGCTACATTAAATGCCCTTCTCTGATTATAAGACTGATGACTACTTTATATGCCATCCTAGAACCTTCATCCAGTAGCTGATGGAAGCAGAAGCAGGCACCCACAGCTAAACCCTGAGCTGATCTCTGGAATCTAGTTGCAGAGAGGGAGGAGTGATGAGCAAAGGGGTCAAGACCAGGCTGGAGAAACCCACAGAAACAGCTGACCTAAACAAGGGGCAGTTCATGGACCCCAGGTCAATATCTGGGAAACCAGCATAAGACTGTACCAGACCTCCTGAACAAGGGTGTCAGTTTGGAGGTCTGGTTAATCTATGGGGCCTTTGATAGTGGATCAGTATTTATCCCTAGTACATGAATTGACTTTGGGAGCCCACTCCACATTGGAGGATACTCTCTCAGCCTAGACACACGGGGGAGGGTTTAGGCCCTGCTCCAAATGGTATGACAGACTTTGGAGATCCCCATGGAAGGCCTCACCCTCACTGGGGAGCAGAAAGGAGATGGGACAGGGGGCCGGAAGGGGGGCAGGGGAGAGGGAACTGGGATTGACAAGTAAAACAAGCCTGTTTCTAATTTAAATTGAAAAAAGGAAAAAAAAGAAAGTCAAGTCAATTTTAGGAAAAGACAACAGGTGTTATTGATAACAGGATTCGTCCTTTCCCCAGATATTGGAAAGAGCTGGAGGGATAGTTCAATGGTGACATTATTAGAAGAAAAGTTGCACATGTAGAATACACATACTTTTCTTGACAATCTATAGTATACACATTGACATACTCCATCATCCAAATATTGGCATTCTATGTTTTCTTCTTTTGTGTGTTTGCATATAGGTAGATACTACTATTTTTGTGGTTGTGTCTCTGTATTGAGGCCAGAGAACAATCTTGAGTATTATTTCTTTTCAGGAATTATCTGCCTCGTGTTCTATTGAAACAGGTTCTCCCATTGGACCTAGATATTACCAACTAGGGTAGTGGGGTAGTAAGTTCCATAAATCTGCACATCTCTGCCTCTCCAGGACTGAGCTCCCAAGTTGAAGACTTGCATTATGGGTTATAATGAACCTCATTTGGGATCCTGAAATAATATGTAAGTAGAGTCTTTGAGCCTGAAGTCAGGTCTCTCATTTTCGCCACACATTAGCTCCATATCCTTAGACAAGAAGGGTGACTTCTTTGAGGTTTTATATCATAGACAATTGTGAGTGCAGTAAGATTTAGTCCACAGAGCAGTGATGGTTATATGACAAATGTGAAACAAGTGAAACAGAGCCTGAAATATAGGGGCTTTCAAAAGTTATTAGTCATCTTCTAATACAGAAAATGCTAATAAATTAGACATGCCTAAGATGCACTGGGTCTGGGTCAAATTCCTGCAGTAATACTTTAAGCAATTAATAAACCAATCCTTGACAGCATGAAAAGAGCAGTAAAGCATCCAAAAGCAGAAGGCTATGAACTAATTATTATCAGTCAACATTTCTGATACTATTTTGATACTTGTTTCACAGTATCCAGAGATACTGTGATGCTTTTTTCTCTTGATAGCTCAATGTCAATGTAAGCTTTGAATCATTAGTTAGAAAAGAGATGAGCCACAAAGGTAGGGAGGATTGGGCTTCTTGGCTAATGTTCCTTTGATGTACTTCATGAATTTAGTCAAGCAATCACAAAAAGTATCAGGGTGTACCAACTCTCTTATTTTGTCTTTTTTATATTTCCTGTAATAGCAGTGGATTCCCAGCATCCAGGTGTATTATAAAAACAGTGTCTTCAACCATAAAATCCTTTAGTTGACCTGTTAACAGACATGTCAGACAATCCAGATCTGATGCCTCATTCTTCTGCCTTTTGATGGGTGTGCTTGAAAATTAGGTATTTTCCAATTTTCTCTTTTGTTTTCATTTTAAAAATCTATGGCTGGGGAGGCATAGGCCCCAGAGGGAAACTTATTACGGTTGGTTAGCCAGGTTGTCATGGTGACATTCTAAATATTGATGCTTCTAACCATAGACAAATGCTACTTAATCAGGAAAGCTTCTATTTGCAGTGAATGGTAGTAAATGCAGACTTATGACTGCTCAAGATGGTGAGGATGGGTGATGGGGATGAGTACTCATCCCTAAATGGAGCATTTGTACTGTTCCCTCTAAGGTGCAGGAACCTCACAAAGGTAATTGAAAGAATGTAAGGACTAGAAAATGGCAAGAAGGATTATGAAATGTTACAGCCATTACAGACATATCTCACATTAGTTGCAGTTGCCTGTGCAGGGCATGCACAAGACTGGGGCCATCAATTGTCAATCATGGATTGGGCAGGGACTATAGAGCCCTACTCCTGCTTGCTAAACTATAGGCTACTGATGGGTTCTGGGAGAGATGTAACTATTTTCAGGTGTGTACCTACTAATGAACTCTCCACACTTTAATGGATAGTTCTAAACCTGTGGTCAAAGAGAAAGTCCTGGTTAAAATCAGTGGGTCACAAAATGAACAAACAAAAGGACATGGATATGAAGAAGGGACTTCGTGGGGGAGGGGAGACAGGAGTGGGAGGGAAATAGAGTATGAGAAATGAGAAATCAGCATGCATTGAATCAGTTTTCTCAACCATTTTAATGCAACCATTAAAAAGACCACATATCAGATATCCTGCATGTCATATATTTACACTACAATTTGTAACAGTAGCAAAATTAGAGTTAGGAAGTAGCAGTGAAATAATTTTATGACTGGGGGTCATCACCACATGAGGAGTTGTGTTAAAAAGTCTCATCATTAGGAAAGTTGTGAACCACCACATTATATACAGGTAAGCAGTTGTCAGCAAATTTAACCAATTAAAAAAAACTAGAAACAAACAAACAAAAAAAACCCAACACATCATCTAACTTCAGGATGAACTATTACTAACAGAGGTTACAGTCTAAGAAAAATAAGTTTCATATAACGTTTGTTTGTATTTTATCTTAAAATGCATTGCATTAAATATGCCAGGACTGTTTATGAAAGAGAGTCTAAAAATACCCTGCCTAGATTTCTGGATGTACTTTCCCCATTAAAGCTGCTTTAACACTAAATGCTAATTGGCAATAATGAATGCAAATAGCACACATACACATCAGTTAAGACAGCTATCAATTGTAAGACATGATCCTTGGGAAAGTTATCCAGTCCTCAGGAAAAAAAAACTATTTGGGGAATTAGCAATACTCACTTTGCATAAACAATGAGATGAAATGAAAATACAAAGATGGGATAATGCATTACAGTCATACACATTTGAAGGAAGAAAACTTGAAATTGAGTTGTAGGTATGTAGATATGTTAAATCTCTAGACAGGTTGTTTAATATAGCATTAATATTTATATGCTGATGAATACATATGTTCAAATCAGAGGGTCACAAAACAGACAAACAAAAAGACATGGATGTGGGAAAGGGAATTGGTGGGGAGAAGCTCCAAAGATGAAAAACACAAGGCAACTGTATCCTAAAGCATCCTTAAGAACCAGTGGAACAATAACCTGGTAGACCCCTAGTCTCCAACACTATGTTGATCCAGACATGTCAGCAGGTATCCCAGGCCTTCTGTGAATGAGGAAACTGTCCTGCCCACTTCTCCAAAAGTCCCTCTACAGAGCCTTGATTAAGTTCTCAGAGAGGTTAAGGTTCCCAGTCCAGTGGAAAGCTTGGCTCAATTCTGAGCCCGAGAAAGTTGGATTTTCCTCATTGGAAATAAGAGTCAAGAGTCTACATTTCCAAGTTCATAAGAATAGCCCAGCCATGACATGTATGCAAGCTTTATTTCTACTGTCCCTTAAGAAGGGACTCAAGGAAGCCACATCCCAGACTTACCTCTAGGATGGATGTCTGCACTTGGAGAATCTGTTCATGGCCTTTGAGCTGCCTGATGCAGATTTTGCAGGACAGCTGGGTGGTGGTGGGCGTGTAGCGCTCCAGGGAGAAGGCACAGTGCAAGGGCTGCCGGTTGCTGCTCCACACTCGGGAGAAGGGGACTTCCTGAAGTGGGGGGTAAGGAGAGGAGAGGCAGTGAAGAGCAGAGCTCTGCTTCAAGGTACCAGAACAGGAGAGACTTAATCACAACAATTATGATGATGATGATGATCGTAGCAGAGATAATTGCCTTAGTGACTTTGGTGGAATTATAGAACTAATGTTTCAGCATCTGCCAGGCAGCACAGAAATAATTAATGTCAATTCCAATTGATAACATTTGAATTCCTAAGCCATGCCACAAGAGCTTAGATTTCACACACAGAGATACACACACACCACACACACATACACACACACACACACACACACACATGCACACACACAAATTAGAATGAATACCATTAAAATTTAACTCGTTCTCCACTAAAATTTACCTTCTTTTGAAGGCTCCTATAGTCCCTCCTGCACAAGCCAGGAGTAAATGCTATATTCTCATTTAAGTGAGAATTATACTGAGAAATTGAGTGAACACAACTAGTTGCCCACTCATATACATTTGTAGAGGAACAAACACTTCCAATCTAGCTGATACAACTGCACACAATCCAGAGAGGGACACAAACACTCTTGGCATCTAGAGAGACATAGCTATCTAATCACCTATGCATGGTCATGTATAAGGTAAGTGGCTAAACAGTACAATATAAGTGAGAACTAATAACAATTTAGATTTTGTCCCATCCTCGGTGACTAATAGGTCTCTGTGGCAAATGTACATTTTACTAAACAAGAATGGGAATTAGTCCTTTTCCCTAATAGTATCTGGAATTTGCTGATAAAGGCAATTTTTTACCATTTGTTCTAACTTTTTTTGTTTTTATGAATTTGAAAAGTATCTCCTTCACAGTCAAATATGGCGGGGGACTTGGCAATAACCATGGATGCCCAGCTTCTAACAATTCTCATCATCACTTTTATATCTTCTGTTTATCATCTCATTAATTTTCTCCTTTATTGCTAAAAATGTAATTTTCTGCCATGCTGAAGCTGAAAGGTAGCAAGAGATGTATGACGTCTGGAACCTAGCAACTCTAAAGTGTGGCTGGTGATAGGCCTGTAGTGTGTTATAGGACAAAGGCCACAATTATTATTATTCACTTTGAGGAATTTTTTATTCACGAGCTCTAGTGTTTACACTTATTTGTATAATTTGCTCTCCAATTTTCTCTAAAAGCTATATAGATAGAGATCTAAGTTTTGGATAGTGTTCTGAGTGACTGTCCTCTAAGTCAAGCATCTGCCATCATGGGATGTTCAGCTCTACAAAATGTTCATTCCAGCTGGGCTGGTTCACTGTTCACATCTCCTCATAGTGGGATAGGAAGGGTCAGGAGATCCTTAGCTATATATCCAACTGCTTCCTTCCATAGCTGTATACAGCTCTACCTTAATTGCATGTGGCCTCAGGAAGGTACAAGTGTATATAGGCCAAGGGAGAATAGGGGAGGCAGGATGCATCGATGTAGCTATGGGGAAGTCCTCATGACTTCCAGGTTAAGGCTTTCTAGGTGTAATCTGTTGGGGTGTGGATCACCCCAAACCCTGTAAGAAGTATCTCACCTATGTCTATAAGGAAACCCGATGAACATTGACCGGTCCCAAAGAGTGATGTTTAGTGGAATAGTGCTTCTATCTGTCATTCAGACCTTAGAAACAGGAGAAGATGTTGCTTATGTCTCCCTTGGAGAACCAATTTTAGTAACAAGACACTCTCTGGAGAAAGCATAAAGGATAGATGGATTTTAGATTTTTAGATTGCACTATGCTTTAAGGGGAAATAATAAGCTTTGGAGAAGATGAGAGATCAAAATGAAGCATTCACAATTACCATCCATCTCAGCAAGAATATAACAACTGTGTAGGGCTTTTGTTTTCTTGTATTTGTTCTTAATCCCGAGCCAAAGAAGTCAGTAGACTTTCCTCCAAAGATACACAGAGGGATCAGAGGAGGCCTCGGGTGTGACTGTGATTTGTAGCATTTCACAGTTCCTCCTCCTGGGCCTTCTCCCATTCTGCAATCCATAAGTTACTCTTGCTTCATGCTTCAGCCTCCTACACATCTCCTTTTACCCACTGAATTCAATCCCATCTGCTTGCACATGACCAACTGTCATCTCCCTTTGCAAGGCTCTAATAACTACATCTCTGGCATTTATCTCATCATCAGTCCCTGGCACTGTAGTCCTGAGGCACTCTACACATGCTACTTGGCATTTACTTCTCCGGAATTTTTACTATCTCTCTTCCATGGTCATTTAGCAAACTTTCCTAAACCCATTAAACATCATTGGAGTTGACTGAAGTATAGTCTCATACCCTTTCTGCCTCTAGTCTCTGCCAGACAAGCAGGGTGTGGGGCCGCCCAGGAGAGTCAAATGGAAGTCAGTTGATTGACATCCATCAGGCCACATGAGAGACACTGATGTGAATGTTACCTAGGGGCTTGGCCCTTAACCTATGATTCCTTTGCTTGATGGTTCACAGCAGATCCCAATGCCTCACATTGTAAATCCAGCCTCCTACTTGGCCTCCCCAGGCCTCAATCATTTTACATCCTGCCCCTACATTCTAGGTATCCATTCTAATAATCTTTCAAATTAAATTTCCCCTCTTCACCAGTTGATTTTGTAGAGTTACTTTTTATGTCTCCTCCAGAAAAACCAACTACAACACAGAGCTGTGAGGCTAACCAGTGTGAGGCTAACCAGTGTGTTTTATTTGCTAGAGCAACTTACATTTCAGTCATTGTAGCATAATTACAGCTTTCAGGTTTAGACAGAGCCTAGTTCTAAACCTACCTCTCAAGAAAAAACTACATTTTCTGCTATGGATTGGGATCCTTGGTAATGCTCAATTTTCTTAAACAATGGTCCTGACCACTTCTTTGAAAGAGCCTCCTGTGATATCACTTGCTATGTTTCCTGTGTTCTTCCCCCAAACACTAGACTATAGGAGTTAATACCTTGTGCAGACACAAGAATCAGCATAGAATGTCTCCTCTCCTGTCTCTCTGTGCCACTGCACACAATCAAAACACTTTTAAATCTGCTTTTCAAAAGATAACACTGAAGGAATAGGTCTTTGCTGTTGACTTGAATACCAGCTGCCAATAGTGCTCAACAAAACATTTAAAAATAATAGAACAGGAAGCACTGTGATTAGTGTATTTTCAGGGCAATTGTTTTTGCTTTCATTTATCCCAAAAAAGAAAGGGTGGGGGCCCACTCTCTCCTCCAAAAAAAACAAAAACAAAAACAAAAACAAAAACAAATCAACAATGCTCATTGAGCTGAAGAAATTGCACAGAAATTGTGCAGGGACAAAGTGTAGCAAAGTTATGTGCGGTTAAAGAATTCCGGAATGTTTTCATTCTGGTCTCCATTATAATTAGGTTCCTAGCAGATGGAGAGAATGTAAATCATATCCTAGCAGGAGATAGACACTGACTTCTGGAAGATTCATTGCATGCTGCAAAGACAGCTGTCTTTATTCCAGGGACATGAAAACCTGACTTTGTGCTTTATTGGTTCTAAATAAATAAAGAATTGCTGCCATAAAGCTTGCCACAGTTTTCCAACCCAGAGCCAATAAAGACAAAAGGAAAGTATAATGAAGAAGCTTGTGGTCCTATGGCCTATTGAGAGCAGGGCTATTTAGTTACTTCCCGGCCAGGGCAAGGAGAGGGGTGGATGACAGCGGTAGTGGATCCCCAATTATGGCAGTCTTGAAGCTTGGGCAGAAAACATGGAACAATGAGTTACTTGGGAATGCTAGCATTATGGGTAGAGTTTTTTGTTTGAAGCCAGGGTCCTGCTGATGGCCTCTCTCTTTTCTCATACAGAAGCTATATGACATTCTGTGTGATGTAGAGCTCCAGTACCTAGTTAGATATCAAAATATCTAACACAGGTCTCTTCTCAGAGTTCAGGACATAAACCTAGCTCATGCTGTTTTGAAACAACTGGTCATGTAGCTGTTGCTACCTAGAAGGCAGATATTTTTTGAACCCCTCTGTTTGGCTTGGCAATTCCATCTCCTAAAACAAAACAGGATGCCATCTTGGAATGTGTGACAATTGCAGTGTAGCAACTCCTAGACTGCCAATTTGCAGTTAGAAGATGACAGATAGTAATAGAACCTCTAGTTTCCCATGCTTTGGGCTGGAAGATGACAGGGAGATTCAATGGTTGGAGAAGAGACCACGTCTCAGGACTGGCATGATTGTCTGTTTCTATATCATCTCGCTGAGACAACCAGAGAGAGAAAGAGAGGTCCTGCTATTTCCTAACCACTAAGCCCTACTGAATATGTTTTCTCTGTTATCCACGCCAAGTTTGTCAATATACACAATGATCCACATGAGATTCAAACTGGCTGACCACAAATCCAACCCAAAGTGCTTTGATCTACTGCCTGGAACAAATACAGCATGGCCATTAGGCCCAGCACAATACTCACTTGCACAATCGGAGGGACTTGGCAATGGCATGGGCAAAGATTAGTGGGTAAGGGTTGTGGAAAGAAAGGAAGAGTGGAGTGGAAAGTCATTTTGGGTTAGAAAAATGAATTGGAAATGAAGACTTGGTGGCAAGCCTCCTGTCACTGAGAAAACAAAACTGTTTCTCAACTTCCCAAGAAGCTTCTTAGACTAGGCTCAATTACAGAAGACAAATATTCATACATGTTCACAACCTCCATGGATTCCAACCCTTGCTAGTAGTAAAGCGTCTTGGATTCCTTGCATTCCAGTGTCTTATGGCTGTGGCCAGTGCTGTTGCATTCTGGGAGGTCTGCAGGTACCTGCCCCACTGGCCCTCTTCTGCTCAATGTATTCCTTCTATGTCCCTGGCTCTGGAGTTACTGTTTAAGAGCTTACAAGGGAATGACTCTTTCATCCTTGTGATTTTTTTTCAATCTTTAAGCATTGAATTTAATAGCGACTTTGCAGTAACTTTTGTCAGACACAGTGTAAAGAGGCCTTTACAACCTATAAATCTAATATACAGCCATTCACATAGTTAGCAAGGCTTGTCTTAAGAATACTCTGGGACTCGACCTGGAACAGAAACTTTGAGACTACCTCCTGGAAAACAAAGACACTTAGGTCTTGAATATCACCAGCATCACATTGATTCAAGAATCTTCTATCAGGAAATCTGTTGATAGTGACAAATCGAAGGGAGGGGGGATAGGGGCCCTGAGAGATGTTTCTGTCATTCTGAAATGTTTGAATCTACTAAAGCTGTATATGGAGGAGTGGCTGCCCAAAACTAAGACTTATGAGACTTAAATGGGAAAATAGAGACTTATATTCAATTTTGGATTACTGCATTTTACAAGTTGGGCACCTTGGTGACCCAACTTTTTCTATCATGGAATGTCTGTGTTTTCGATTTGCTATCTGGCTGGTTCCCATTCTGAGTAACTATATGTCAGTGTACTCAGTGCGTGTGTGAGTGTATATATGACGTATGAATGTGCATGTATGAGTATGTGTGCATTTAATAAATACTGAGAGAATGGAAAGAGTAAAAAGCCTCACATGACTCTGCACCAATACTTCCAGGTGTGAAAATGACCTGAAATTGAAGATCAACACGGGTCTACCAGAAACGACTCCAGGGTTAAGGAGATGCCCTATCGTTTGAAGCAAAGTGACCTGCTTATGACAACCATGAGGGAATTCTTAGTCTTTGATGTCAGCATCACAAACTTCTCAGGTGTCTTTTTATGGTAGGCATAACCGAATCACCCTGAGATGTTAAAAAAGTCTTTATTAGAAGACATATGTATGCTAATGTATAGATATCTGTATGTATTTATAAAAGGACTCCAGGGAGCCTTCCTCTTGCCTCTGTTTTCTGACTAGTGGCATCTTCTCATCTTGCTCATTGCATTTGGCAGCAAGCCCTTGAGAGCTGAAGGGGGGGGGCATCTTTGTTCTCAGCAACAGCTATCATTCAATCATCATCCTGATCTCTTCCAGTTCTTCACTGCTGACTGTGATTAAAACAACATCTCACAATGATTGATCTTAATAAAAACAACACACAGTCCTTATCCTTAAGCGGTTAGTTTTCCATCTTTAACCTACACAGAGCAATTCAAACAGAGGAAAGGAGTGACACATAACCTGAGAAGCAGGAACTATTTTCCCCACTTGCAAGACACCTGTGAATTTAGGATAGTATGTTCCACTCAAACTGTTATATCTCTCAGAGTCTGGAGGTGCAATCCACACAGGAAAGCCCCTCCCAGGAGTGTTGGATACAGAAAAGCTTTTTTTTCCTGTGAGAGCCCCTTTGGCTGATACCTGGCATGCAGTGAATGGTTTGATCCTCCAGAGGAATGGAGGGATGTCAAGGACAGAGATCTGAAGACTGAAGGTATTCCCTTTGAAATGCAGCAGCTTTGGTTCTTCCAGGAGCTGGCCACCTTGGTGCCGTTCATCGGATACCACTTCCTGTAGGAGCAGGAAAGAAAAGGAAGAGCCACATTGAAGCCTACAGTTTCTTGCGCCCTACCGTGCATACTCTGACACAAACACACGATTCCATAGCCAGATAAGGCCCCAGATTTGAGATTGAAAGCTGCTGATGAATAGGGATCTGATCACCAAGAGTCAACCATTCTTTCTTGCTTCTGTAATGTACGCCTATTTATATTTATTTATTTTGTGGGGTGTGGGTATGCATGTGTGGAGGTAAGCAGTTTGCAAGAATCATTTCTGTCCTTTCATCCTGTGAGTTCCTGAGATTGAACTCAGGTCATCAGGCTTGGTGGAAAGTGCCTTTACCTGCTGAGTCATCTTGTTGGCCCTTGTTGAATTTATTTATTTTTATTAGTATACATTCTTTATGCAAAATATCAGGCATCATCATGACATTTTATACATGTATACCGTATACTTCAATCATAACAATCACATTACCCTGATTTCCCTCTTCCTTACAAAGGTCCCCTCTTCTCATATAGGCCTTTTTTCTATTTTTTTATGTCTTATTTTTTAAACTCCAGAAATTACATGAGAAGTCATGATTCTTGTGAGTCTATATTCTTGTGAGTCTATATTATACTCTTTAGTTTCATCCATTTTCTTGTAAATGCCATTTCATTAATCATTATGGCTGAATACTCATCTATCTATCTATCTATCTATCTATCTATCTATCTATCTATCATTGACATCATTGACTTTATCTACTGAGTCATTGATCAACATCTAGGCTGATTCATAAGTTGGTAGTTACGAACAGTGTTGAATTAAACAAGGTCATGTAGATACCTTTGTGATGCTGGATTCGATTTCTTCATGAGTATTACTCTTGGATTAAACAGTATATATTTGATTTTTTGTGGCACCTCTGAACTGATTTTCATAATGGCTTACATTCCCTCCAGCAGTGTGTGGCAGGACTCCCTCTGTGTCTAGCCACTTGAGCCAGCATGTATTATTTATTTTCTTGATGGTATGCCTTCTGGCTGCTTTTAAACTAACTGGAATGTTCCTTAAACTGAAACTCCCCCTTACCCCCAAGCTGACTGTACTACCATTGAGTTTTTAGGAGTGGGTTTCGTTTGGATGTGACATTACCCAGCAGTACACACAGGGTTGCACCTTCACAATATAGACGGACAGGTGTCCTCCCTTCTACTGTAATTCCTTACTAAGACAGGCATTATTTAACATTTGTCTTTGGCTCAAAATAAATGTTTAAAGTGTGTGTTTATTTAGAGTAGCAGTCATAAGAATTTTTTAAGCCAAAAAGGGCAGGAAAAATAAGGTTTTTTTTTCTTTTATCGAGTTAGCTGACTTCAGAAACAAGAAATCAAATTTCCAAGGTAAACACTCTTTTATGTTTCACTGGTAGATCATTATAATTATACTCATGACAAACAAAGTCCACACAGGTTCTACTGAGCAAACACTTAATTGCTTCTGAATTTGTTGTGACCAGAATTACATTGATAGGGCAGGTGGAACAGTTAAATAAATATGTATTCTGAAAAATATCAAATTACTGCTGAGGTAAGGCTTTCAGTGAATAGAGATGAGAGTCCTCCCCAGGTCCATTTGTAGAATCATTCTTGACTTACAGATTCCTTTCAGCGATAGGAGAAATGCCAAGCCATACAGCCTTTATGCATTGTAGTCTCCAAGATGCTATAGTTGGAAGAAGTGCAGCAAGTTGATGGATAAGTACACCTTTCCTGTCAGTTATTAGTCTAAAAACAGCATCATAGAGTATCTATCTCTTGCCTTAAGATATAAGGACACATCTTTTTAAGTTTCTAGGAATTTGAGGTGCCAAAACTTCACATATTTGACAAATATTCTAATATTGGCTTACCCCCTGTCTACAAACGTTTTATTTTGAAACAGGGTATCACTAAGTTGCACAGGCAGACCTGAATTCATGAGTTTTCTGTCTCAGCCTCCATATGGTTATACATGGGATCTGTATAAACTGACTGTAGAATGACAATTCAAAAATGTTTCTAACTTTTATCTTTGAGTTGTTGGCTGGCTAATTTTTTTAATAAAAAAACTGGAAGAGGAACCCTTAATTGAGAAAATGACTCCATCACATTGACCTGTGGGGGAGATTGTGGAACGTTTTCTTAATTAATGATTGATATGGAAGGGCCCAGTAAACTGGGCAATGCTGTCCCTGGCTATGTGGTCCTGGGTTATATGAAAAAGAAAACTGAGCTACTCATGGGTACCACGTCAGCAAGCAGCATTCCTTTGGGGACTGGGCTTCAGTTTTTGACTCCAGGTTCCTGCTTGAGCTTGGTGACTTACTTCCCTTTGTGATGGACTGTGACTAAGACAATTAAGCCAAATTAACCCTTCCCTCTGTGAATAGCTTTTGGCTCTGGTGTTGTTCTTAATCACAGCAACAGAGAGAAAACTAGTACAAGTAGATTGTGGAAAGGTTGCTCCTGTAACATGCCAGTATCAAAAGATTGAGTTCAACTCCATGCTCTGCAACTCTGTCTTCTTGCTTGTTTGGGGAGCATTTCTTGGGACTTGCACACCAGTGATACACTTGTTACAAACATGAAGATGTTCTCTTTCCTCACTGTCCAGCACAGTGACCATGGACCATATTGACTATCAGAACACTTCAAATGTGGCAGTTGTGAGAGTGTGGCTAACAACTACTATATCAGGCAGAGACTTCATGTCATCAGAGACTGCAAAGTTAGTTATAACATGCGGCCTGTGTTGTTCTTGCAGAGTGGTGGGAAACAGCCAGTGTGGGGAAGAGAATTAATCCCGATTAATTCTAAATGCCTATTGGGGTAAGACATTGGCATTGTAATAGATTGAGTCTGTAGTTCCTTCATATGAGATGTAATGAGTGTCCACTGGATCTATGCTCAGGCTGGACACTGATTATGTAGCTATGCAACCAGGCACCACCAAGAAGCTGACACGTTGTGTTCAAGAATGAGAACACACATATGCATACATGATGATTTATGTCACTAGGGTCCTCCCAAGGAAACTATTTGCCCAAAGTTACATGGTTAATGAGAGAGGATAGAACTGTGCGTCTTCATCCCAGTCCAGTATTTCTTTGCATAGACATTTTTGCCTTTTGTTATACTAGGCTTACTGTTTTCTTACAGTCATGGGAAAGCCATGCCACCATCACTGCTTTACTATGAATAATTTTTCATTGGTGCAAGACATAGTTATAAGATCACATAAGTCAGTGTATGTTTACCATATTATATAATTTAATATATAATTATGAATACATTAACACATATATCATTTAAACATTCCTTAAAATGCAGTAAGTAGGGTGGAAATGATGAGGTGAAATGATGAGGTGATAGCTCAGTCGGTAAGAGGACTTGGTTTGGAAGCATGAGGACATGAGTTTGGATTCCCAGCACCCACACCAAAAGGCCAGCATAGCTATACAATAATACTCCGTGTCTCCGCTTTGAGGGGTAAGGATAGGAAGAAATCAAGAGCTCCATGGCCAGAAAGTCTAGCCAAAGGCTTCTGGTTTGGTGCGAGATCCTAACTCAGGGCCCCGGGAGGAAGACACCTGACACTCTGCTCTCATGTTCACATGTATACCACAAGGGCATGTTCTTCCACATCCATGTGCACTCCCACACACACACAAACACACACACATGTACATACATAGTATACCATACACACACCACAAACAACACACACACATAACATATATACTATATACATACCACAAACAACATACATATATGACACACACCACAAACATCACACACACATACAACATATACATGCACAACAATGCACAGCACAGATATACAACAAACACAATACAGATTCAACAGACACACACACACAAGGCAGAGAGGAGAACTTGTAAAATATTATGTGTAGCTATTTCAAATCATCATGTAGTAAGAGGTATATTTTTCAATGTCTTGCTGTAGGCTCCTTAATTTAAATATGAGTACAATTATGCTTTGATGCTTTGTCTTTTAGCTTACTGATTTACAAAACTGAGCAATTAACATTATTGCCTAGTCTTTGGCAAAATATTAAGTAATTAGATCAATTCTGAAATAAGGTAATTATTAAATGAAAAGACCCAATCATGAACTAATCATTATATTTACATATTTATAAATGCATTGCTGGCTTTAGAGTCAAAGAAGTTAAATCCCCAGTACAAAGAACTTTAAAATAGGATACTTTGACCTTGTCAGAGAAGTGTGATCCTGAGTGGAGTACAATGTGATATTTTTAAGAGCTGGACAGCTGTGGGTTTTTGTTGTTTCTTTGTTAATTTTTTTGGTATGATTTTGCTATTTATCCCAGGATGGCTTTGAACTAAGGATTCTCCTGCCTCAGCCTATAGAGTGATGATGGTATTACAAATGTATGCCACTGCAACCAAGTGCACACAGATATGTGAAGCAGTCATTTGTACACACGCCTCCGCTGAACACGTTTTGAATCATCTACATGGACAATGTTGCCTGTCAGTCACTCCATTTTGCTTCCGGTTAAATCTCTCCTCCCGGTGAAATGATTCTGTTTCTGGAACAGGAAGGCCTGGCCCTGGCTCTGTGTATATAAAGTGGATGGTGGTTTTACCAGGCCCTCAACTTCTTCATTTCATACCCGGGCCTGCAAACCTTCTAGCTCTTAGAGCTGCAGCCAGGAGAAACCCGCACAGTGCGGCTCGCTGAGCTCTTCATGTTGATTTAATGAGACAGCCAGCAATATTCAGGTATGCTTCAGGGATACTAACAGAGGCAGGCTGAATTTACATATTTATGAGACAAAACTGTTTGAACTTACACACACATACACACATATACACATGGTGTTGCTGTGGTGTTTTCCTTTAAATGCTTTATATGAACAATATTTCCCAAGGTTGCATTATTGATAAACATAAGAACTACATCTGGAGGAAATCCTTTGAAATTAGGTTCTAA